AGCCTTTAGGACACTGTATATCTGTGTGTGTGTGTTTATTGTGTGTTGCTCCCACAGGAATGGCAGCTCCATGAGGGTAGTGGTGGTGTCTCTTTGTGCACGGCTGTGTCTTCATGGCTCAATAAATGGCTGTGAAATGAATGGCTGAACACTTTGGCCTGACAGCACTTAGAGCCCAGAGCGCACTTCTCTCCTGGGTCTCAGGAGCCTGCCAAGAATGTGAGGCTGAAACAGCCCTTATCCCTAAATGGAGGGGTACAAGGGACCAAAATCTCCTGTGTTCACAGCCCAGTCTGGTCCCTCCTCTGCTGCTGTGAGTGCTTGTCACCACCCACGTCACCACCTATGCCCCCTGCTCCTACCCTGCTGGGCCAGGTCTCTCACCAGGTCCTGGCCAGAGAAGTGCTTCCAGCCTTCACGATGGTTCTGTCCCAGCTTCCGCTCACACATTCCTTTTCAGATACTCCCTCTCCAGAGGAGAGAGGGTTCATCAAGAAATCACTCATGTTTGGGTGGGCATGGGGAGGATGGGGCAGGCAAGGCCCCAATTCCAGGGTTTTTGGCCAAGAGCTCCTGGCAGAGGGAAGTGGTGGGATTGAGCCAGCTTCCCTGGCTGCTCCAGGCCCTGTGTGGTTTTGTTTGCTTCGCTGATGGAGGTGCAATCCTTGGGAGAATGGCAGAAGAAAAACTGGGTTGGGGGTGTGTGGCTTCTCACCTCCCTACCCCCCTTTAACTGTGGTCGCCTCCATGTAACTCATTCCTAGAAGCAAGGCCACTGAACCCAGGATTCCCTCCTGGCTTTTTCTCCAGTCAGGTGCTTGAGAATTAACTGAGCACACTTCCTTTTATTTTCAAAACTAAGGCACGAGGGCCCATTTTCCTAAGTCCCCAGCAATGCGCAATGTCCCCCTAAGGCTAGGATAGGAGGAAGACAAGGAAAAGCAAGAAACAGCAAGCCAAGATGTACTCACTTCCTTGTTCACAGGACTAGCCCTGACTACTGCTGGAGGCAAAGGGCAGGTCTGTGCCCTGGTGGAGCAAGCAGAGGCAGGAAGCGCAGGTTCCGGGCATGGAGGCAACTTGTTCAAAAGCTCTTTGGGGCAGAGCTGGGACTCTGACTTATGTCCCTCTCATTGTGAGGTCACGCTCTTACCTTTGGCACTTCGCTGTCTTTCAAAACTTTTGCTGCTCAGGAATTGATGATGACCGCCCAGCAGGACAGGCAAGAATCAGTCCATCGCAGGAGGGCTGCTGTCAGGCCTCAGGCGCTGAGACTGTCTCTCCCCATCTGGGCAAGCTGGGAAGTCTGCACTAACCACCTGCATCATAGGTTAGGGCCTCACAGGACCTGTCTCGCACATGATATCCCTCCGCACAATGATTGCCTGCTTATTCATTCACATGCCCCCAGGGGGCGCTCTTGTGCCCAGGCAGGTCTCTATCTTCTAGCACAGTGCCTGGAACACAGTAGGAGCTCAATATGTTTGTTGAAAGGAGGAAGACTCTGCTTTCCCCCAAATCTCCTTGATTCAGGAGTTGTTACTTCACTGGGACTGAGGGTATGACAGTCCATCCTGAGTGTGTTTGGCCTAGGCCCCTGGGCCCTGCTGTTCTCCCCTCCAGAACACTTGGAAGTCATGTCTGTCCCTCCATCAGCTCTGTCCTTGCAGATGCCCTGCACCACAGCGCACTGGGGTCAGTGGCCCACTGGCCCTCTCTACTGAAAGAAGAATAATAACCACGGCATCTGTCGAGAGCTTACAAAAATGCCAGTACTCTGCATCAACTACTTGTGATCCTTACAGCAATTCCACAGGGGGAGTAGTGTTAGTCCTGCAGACAAGGAGCCTCAAAAAGGACTCAGTAGTTTGCCTGAGGTCTTAGAGCAAAGATGTGTTGCATGAATGAATACACGCATGTGTGAATGCATCAACAAGTGTCTTAATGATTCTGGTGCTTTGCTACTTTCTTATTCTGTTCCCCATAAACACTGGGGACAGTTCAATGGAACGAAAGGAGCTGAGAGACTTTGGGGAATCCTGAGCCAAGAAAGCAGGGAGTAGGAAAGGAGGAGGTGCACTGAGTAGAGTGCAGCCCCTAGTTACTCAGTAACCTGAGCCCTGGGCCCAGGAACAGCCTGGCCAGGCTGGGCCAGGGCAGGCAGCAGACATTGGTTCCCCTTGGTCACACTTCATGCACTTGACTGGTCACAGCTGGAAATGAGATGGGAAGTCAAAGATTGGGCAGACCCCAGGCCAGGCAGGATGGGAGCTGGTGGCAGAGTCAGGGGCCCTGCAAAGGATGTCTGGGGTAGGGGGGAGAGTGAGAGATGAAGCTCTCCATTCCGTCAGAACTTTAAGGTGATGGGAGGCTGGAGGAAGGACCAAGGGCACTACTATAACTCGGTGACCCAAAAGAAAACCATGGACTGAGCCTGGCAGACAGTGGCCCTGGGAGCCCTCAGGAGGAGGGTGGAAAAAGAGGGAAGCTCAGAAGGGGAGGATGTCAGGATCTTGCTTTCTGCTGGGCCAGGAGTGATACCAGCTAGCATCCAGGTTGGGAAATAGCTGTTGCCCAAATTTCTCCAGAGGCTGGCCCTGCTATCCTGGCCCTATCCCAGGGCTCCCTTTAGGCCTCCCCACCATCTAGCAAACAAAGGGTAAGCACCTGCCAGGGACTCCCGCTTCCAGGACCCTACCTAGTTACATATGCTGACTAGAACCTCAGGTTGGCCTAAGGTTGGCACTAAGTTGGTGTTGAATGAGCAACAGAGGAGAGGGGAAATTTTAGATACAGAGACATTGAGAGACAATAGGAGAGACAAAGGGTGAGAAGTGATGGGGAAAGCTGGAATCAGGGAGGAGGCAGCCAGAAGATGCTAAGAAGGCCCTGCTCATTCCTCCTTGCTCTCTGGTTCTGCAGCTTTTGCAAGCTCTTCTTGCAGGGCCTGTCTGGTCCCTGCCTGGGTAACCCAGAGCCACCCCACTTCCAACCAGGCCTCAGAAAGGCAGGCTGCATCTCTGCAGCAGAAGGCTGGCCCTGGGGGGTGGCGGGGGGTATCCCAGATGCCGAATTATCCAAGAATTAATATCCAAAGGCTGCTGACCAGACACCTTCCCACCCCCATCCCCCACAGGAGCTAGAAAACAGCCTCCCTGCTGACCAAGGAGTGAGAGACAGACTTTGGGCCAGGGGCCACCGGGGCCAGAGAGCCTGTGTGGACTGCTGGGAGCAGTATCACCAGAGGCTGCCACCCAGACGCTGGCCCCGCCTCCCAAGCCTGCCTGGCGGGGCACTTAGGAAGCTATAGGCCTAAAATCCAAATGTTCCCCAGAGCCCATTCTGGGTTGGGGGCTCAAGCCCTTGAGCGGAGGAGGTGAACTAGGGACAGGAGGGGAGGTACAGAGTGGAGTCAGGGCCTCCACTGTTACCCCGTGTCTGACACTCCTGAGAAGGGAAAGCCCCACCCTGCATCTGCTCTGGGGAGTGGTTGCCCCTATGGGCCGAGACCACCCACCCTGGGGATGGCAACTCTTCCTTCAGGCTGGGGTCTGGGGCACCTTTGTCTCTTCCACACAACAGCTCCCTGAGTCAGCTGCGCAGCAGTGTAGACAGAGCGCCTCACTCCAATTAGCCTACCAAGCCTACTAAGACTGGCCTTCAGTTTCCCTTATTTTTGAAGGCCCTCTGACCTGCAGGAGTCAAGCACAATAGTGCCAGAGTCCTCCACCTGTCTGGAATCCTCTGGTCCCCAACTGGTGAAGGCCCTGTGCCTCAGCAGAGCCTGCCCTGCCTTGAAGTCCTTTCTAGACTCCCCACCCCAGGCCTCAGTTCCTGAACACACTGGACACTCACAGGCCAGGCATATGTCTATGCCAGTCCCCTTCTAGAAACTTTCCCTCCTCTTTCTTCACTTGCCCAGTTTCTAAGTTTTTCTTCTAGACTCCCAGCAGACACAGGAGAGATTAGGAGAGGAAGCAGCCCTCTATCTTTGTCCCCTCCCTCACCTCTGCAGGGCCTGCAGCCTCTCTTCTTGGGTCCCCACAGCTTAGGGGTTTCCCCAGTGGTAATTGAATCCCTTCCTAAGTGTCTCTCTCAACTGGACAATGGCTTCTCAGGGCCATTTGGCTCATCTCTGAAGCCTGGGTCACAGCAAGTGTTCAATAAACGCCTGTCTCCTGGCTGGTTGTATCCCATGATCTCCATGAAAGCAGACCTTGCTTGTGTGACAGCCAGCTCCTGACTGTTAAGGGAGTCTAACTAGCTGCATCTAGCTTCCCTCCCTTCCAGCTGCAGAGTTGGTCCAGGCCTCTCATAGCCACCCCGGGCCCCGCAGGGGACCCAGGAGCACAGCCTGCTAGCTACACTGTGGTGGGGTGCAGATGGGGGTGAGGAGGTGGAGGAGGTTTGGAGGGGGTTAAAGAACTCCACTGCTGAGACTCAGACATCCGCCACCAGGTTAATATCAATGCTTGGAGAGAAGTCTCTTTATCTCCAGTCTCCATCTTGCTTTTGCTTTTGGGAAAAGACTGAGTAACCCCTCTACTCTCCTGTGTTAACTCTGGGGGTCCAGACCCAGGCCTTTCAAGGTCACTTATTCTTTGGGAAACCCTCTAAAGAACATCACGTTTGAGGGGGCAGGTCCCTTCTCTTTCCCCTGTCTCCAGGTCGACAGTTGTGCAGAACACAGAGCACCTTTCCAGGGTCATTTCCAAGGACCTGTCCTGCCCTGGACAGAGCCAGGGTCAGACGCCCAAGAGAGACAGGATCTGCGGGTGGCCTCCCGATCCTTGCTCCCACGCAGACCTTCTGCCCAGCCCCCCCCCCCCCGCACCCATCTCCTACCCAGGCAGGGCGGGCTCTGGCCAGAACCTGCCCCAAGCTTAGCCAACTCGGGGGCGGGGCCTGGCTTGTGGGGGCGGGGCCCAGGTGGGCGGGGCCCGGCTCCAGTGAAACCAGCCGGGCCCGCCCCGCAAGTGTCTGCTTCGCCAGCTCTCCAGGAGCCCTAGCCCGAGGCTGACAGCCACCGTCCCATGGCCGGGTCCCCACGCCGCGCCGGGAGCCGGCGACTGCAGCTGCCCCTGCTGTGTCTCCTCCTCCAGGGCGCCACCGCCATACTCTTTGCGGTCTTTGTCCGCTACAACCACGAAACCGACGCTGCCCTCTGGCACTGGGGCAATCACACTAACGCCGACAATGAATTTTACTTTCGTTACCCAAGTGAGTGCGGGTCGGGTCAGGGCGTGCGGGGAGCAATGATCCTGACTTCCCCGGTGTCTTGGGAGGGGGCACTTGGGTACCCAGATCTATCCCTAGGTGGGCAACCCTTTTGCTCTGAGATGAAGGTGCGCCAGATTTATAATAACACCCTTTCCAGTGTCTGCCATGTTCCAGATTTATATCTGAGGGTGGTACATGCATTTTCTCACTTAGTCTATGTGGTAGACAAAGATGGGGAAACTGAGGCTCAGAGGTTAAGTCCACGTTGACAATGTCAGAATTGAGGGAGTTGGGATTTGAAGCCAGATATGACCCAGCTTTGCTGGGCTTTGCCTTTTCTAGGGCCTCCACCCTGTCTGACCACAGAAAAGAGAATCCTTTTGGGCAGGGGAGGTAGGGGACCAGATGCAGAAGGAGGTAATGGCAGGCATTAGCTGTGAAGGCAGTCGAGACTAGTAGGATGCAGGCATTTCTTCTCTAGCCCCCAAAGCTGGTTCTTCCAGAGTCAGAGAGAAAATGAGACTACTTAACAGACAACTACAGAACAGCAGCCTCAGTCCTGGGAGGGAGGCATGGCAGGGCCATTAGCCCGTTTCACAGGTGAGGAAGCTGAGGCTCAAAGGGGCTGTGGCTTGCTCATGATCATCCATCAAGTGAGTTGACAGAGCTGGGAGTAGATAGGACTCAGGCACCCTAAGCCTCTTGTACATAGCTTACTTGTCTGCTGATAAAGTCCAGGCTGGGGAGCGTGAACCCCCTGGACCTTGCTGGAGAAAGAGCCTCTCCCTCAAGGTTGTGGACCCAACCATGTGCTGGAGCCCAGAGCATCTGGGACCAAGGACACCAGATCTCCCAGACTTCATCACAAATGCTTGGGCAGATCTTTTCTAAGCCTCAGTTTCCCCCATCTGGGCAATGTTGGGAAGGATGCTTCAGTTTGAAGGTATGCATTCAAGCAAGGCCCAGGTTATGGGAATCTCCTATTAAAAAACAAACAAACAACAAACCCAGACTGTTATTACCCTACTTCTGCATGCAGAACTGGTGGCTGGCTGACCCCGGCTGACCCTGTCCCAACCCCAACAACAACAAAATGAAGCTCACAGTGCTGGAGGGCGGGTGGGCATGAAAGATCAGGTCCCCAGCCTTACTAAGCAAGAGGGGTCTCTGCCATCTCCTTATTTCACCCCCATCTCTGGAAAAGGTGAGCCTAGAAGCTGGGATGGCAGATTCTTGGGGTCATGCATTTATTGAGAGAGATAGGGAGTTGGGAGGGAACAGTCCAGGAGAGGCCAGGAGAGGCCAGATTTTCTCTTCTTGAAATAAGTAAGGGTCAGACCTGGCTACCTGCCATGAACCCCCACCCACTTCTTCCATGGGCCTCACTCAAGTCCCCAAAACCTGCTTGTTTCAAAGTCTTTCCTGAACCCTCCCAAACCTCTTTTTTTTTTTTTTAAGATTTATTTATTTATTTATACAAGCACTGGGTACAGTCAGAAGTGTGGGAGGGTGAGAGGATTCACCAGAGCCAGAGGCAGGAAACAGAACAAGCAGACTGATGAAATGCACTGCTGAGGGGAGCAGTGGGCGCAGCAGGAGAGGTCTGCGTGCCTTATGGGGCCCTCTCCAGAAGCTGGGGATCGAACCAGTGCTGCAGAGGCTGCGGGTAGCTTCGCAGCCCGGCGCTCTACTGCTGTGCGACCAGGGGAGACCCTCTCCCAACCTCTTGCCCCTCTACTGTGATGGCGGCTCTCCTTGGACACCCAGCTTTTCATCCCTGGACACAATGAAGGAAACCGTGGGAATCCTACCTCTTTTTCCGCCTTAGTTTCTATCTCAGTGGACTTAGAACCTTGGTGTGGGGAAAGGTGGGGGGAGGGAGGTGTGAGGTCCCTGGAGCCTGGGCTTTGATGAGCCGGGTCTTCACCTGTCCCTGAGTCCAGGGAAAGGGACCGGGGCCAGAGGGGCATGACCCCTGCCCTTTGATGCAGGAGATGAAAGGCAGTTCTGCAGCTGGTGTTGAGCTGTGGGACTGGCCAGTGCCAAGGGATGGCTGCTCGAGGGGCTCTCTGTTATTTCTCCAGGAAGGGCCCTCAGAGCCCACCTGGTCCACTCCTCTCAGATGTGGAGAGCCAATGAGGTCATATGACCACCCAAGCTGATAGAGCAAGTGAGCCAGGCTGGAACCGGATCTCTCTATTCCCCATCCACAGCCTTTCCCCTATATTGCAAACATCTTATCCCATGAGGCAAGAAGAAAGAGGGAAAGAGGGGGAAAGAGCAAGATTACAGGAACCACAGAAGCAAACCTGAGACAGGGTTCTAAGAAAAAGTACGGAGCCATCCTTTTTTTTTTTTAAGATTTATTTATTGATGCATACAAGAACTGGGGTACAGGCCAGAGGTGTGGGGGGTGAGAGGATTCACCAGAGACAGAGTGGGGAACAGAACAGGCGGACTGACTGAAACACACTGCTGAGGGGAGGAGCGGGCAAGACAGGAGAGGTCTGCTGCGCCATGTGGCAGCTCCCTGGCTGGGGATGGAACTCGTACTGCAGTGGCTGCGGATAGCATCATAGGCTGTGTCTAAACCCTCTACACCACCAGGGAGGCCCTGGAGCCATCCTTTTTTATACAGCTCCAGGGTCTGACTTGCAGGGAGGGGATTTTGGCTAGAAGGGACCAGGATCTTCTGGGAAGATGAGGAGGAAGGGGACCAGAGCGGTCCGAGGCTACTTCTAGGAGAATGTAGCCCTGACTAGCCTCCTAGAGGCTGGTGCCCAGATCTCTCCCTAGGTGGGCAACCTCCTCATTCTGAGATGAAGTTGCCCCAGATTTATAACAACACCCTTTCACGTGTCTCCCATGTTCTAGATATACCACATATCTAGGGCGGCACATGCATTGTCTCAGTCTATGAGATAGACAAAGATGGAGAAACTGAGGCTGAGGAGGTTAAGTCCAGAGGTAGAGTATGGTGGGGGGGAAATGGGCCCTTCCAGCTCTCTGTTCCCTTCTCCCTGCTCCTCATATTTTGTACCCCCAGCTAACAGAAAAGGAAAATGCAGCTCAGAAAGGGCCATGTCTGCCCAAGTTGCATAGCCAGAGCGAAGGTCAGAGGGAATGTAAATCCAGCTCCATCTCAGCTTTAACTGCTCCCCAGTCCCGCGGTCTTGTCTCACTTAGAGGTCATCTGGTGGGTTTAAGGAGGCGCAGGAAGGGAAAGCGGGAGGGCGATAGGTGCCTTTGGAGGGTTTTCATCTTCTCCAAAACCAATGGGTGCGGGGGTTTGGCAGGGGAATGTTGAGGGGTCATCTTATCCATCTCCCTGCCTCCAGCTGGAACAGCCCCATCTCCCCCACCGCCCCGGAGTGTGTCTGCATGGAATGTTGTCCAGGGAGGGAGATTTCTTGATGATTAGACTCCAGTTGCAAGGGATTGAGTTTTTATTCCAAACAACCTTGGGGTGGGAGGTGTAAATATTATTGTCATTCAAGACCAATTCTGGGGTGGTTTCAGTGTGTAATGGACACAGAACCCTGTGACCCAACCCCCCTCCTTATCTTGCTGTCCTTGGCATGAGAACAGACAGGACACCCTACTATTTGCATAAGAGAAAAAGAAGTCAGGCAATGAATTCTGAAATAACCTGGGCAGCGGGCTGAGTCCTGCCTGATGCCTGTCCTTTCCTGTTTAAAGCTGGAGGGAGACAGAGCTGGGTGCTCTGGGGAGCGGGCAGAGCTGGAGAAGTGGCACATCTAGTGAGGCTCCAGGGCCCGCAGGCCCTCGCTCCGCTCAGCTGCTGGGGCTGCAGCTGAACTGCAGACCTTCGCCGCAGCACACCCCTCTGCCCAGGGCTGCAGACTCCTTTCCTTTCACTCCATAGGTAGCACGAAGAAAACCAGAAAAGTGGGCTTTCTCAAAGTTATGACTGCACTTTAAGGTTCAATAATATATATATATATATATTTTAAAGATTTATTTATTTATTTATACAAGCACTGGGCACAGTCAGAAGCGCGGGAGGGTGAGAGAATTCACCAGAGCCAGAGCGGGGAGCAGAGCAGGCAGAAGGACCGAAGCACACTGCTGAGGGGAGCAGCCAGGGATCCAACCGGCGCCGCAGAGGCCGCGGGCAGCTTCGCAACCCAGCGCTCAACCGCTGCGCCACCGGGGAGGCCCTCAATAATATATTTTTGACCAGTTGGTACATCATGTTAAACAAAAAAAGGTGACCATGACTTTTTCTACAAGAGGTTTAAGGTCACTTACAGCCAAAACACTCGTCGAAGAACAAGAAAAGTGAAGCAGAGCACAAATAATGAACACTGGCAGGGTAGACGGGTGCTGCAGCTGCCGTTACGGGGTAGTCTGTGCTTCCAAGCTGCCGAGAGAAAGGGGACATGTGATCAGTGACGGGTGCTCCTAGAACGGTTCTCCATGTCTGTCTTCCACGCTCCTGAGGACAGGGCTGTGGCTGCCATGGGGTAGCATCACTTCCAGATCCTGATGTTTGGTGCTTAGTACTTATCTGTCATCCGAGTGTGGGGAAGCAGCTGGTTCTCAGGGGTGGTGACATTTCCCAGCACTAAGTTCTGAGAGAAACTCAAGAGGGGCTTTATTTTTCAATTTTTAAAAAAGATTTATTTATTTATGCACACAAGAACTAGGTCAGGCCAGAGGTGCAGGGGGGCCGTGAGAGGACTCACCAGAGACAGAGTGGGGATCAGAACGGGTGGATCCACTGAAACACACTGCTGAGGGGAGCAGCGGGTGAGGCAGGAGAGGTCTGATGCCCCATGTGAGATTCTCCCTGGTCGGAGGGGAATCAAACCGGCGCAGCAGTCTGTGGACAGCTTCGCAGCGCGGCGCTCACCCGCTGCTGCGCCACTGGGGAGGCCCTCTTCCAGTGTCTCTTGATTAAAATCAAAGGTGCACCATGGGGTTACTAGATGTACGAAGCCCAGACAGAGGAAACATGGCTGGATGCCCTGGCTGAGCATCACAGGAGGTTATGTTTCTAATCTTATTTATAAGTAGATAGGGGGAAGCACAGAGCAAATGAATACTAGGGCAAAGTATTGGTCTTTATCCCATTTTCAATATTACCATATATTATTTTTATTAGCTCAGCTTTTTTTATGCATTGTGCTACAAAAGAGAAAGCAAACAGAAAAGATCCCAAGTCTCCCTGCCCAGCCACACACTAACACTAAAAAACTCAGGTAACTCATCTATAAAATTAAAATATTTAGACTATAGGGGAAAAAACTAAAAAGACTAAAAAGCAAAATTCCTTTCCTAGGGTGGTATCATTTACATTGAAGTTGTGCATCTCAGCAGCTCTGTCCCCCTTAATTCTTTTCCCCTTAGGTAGTCAATCTCTTAACAATTTAAAGCTATTTCATGTTATTTTAAAAAAATCATTTGGGGACCTCCCAGGTTGGGGGGGGGGCGTTAAGCACAGCACTATGAAGCTGTCCGCAGCCACTGCAGCACGAGTTCGATCCCTGGCCAGGGAGCTACCCACATGGTGCAGCAGACCTCTCTTGTCTCACTCGCTGCTCCCCTCAGCAGTGTATTTCAGTCAGTCTGCCTGTTCTGTTCTCCAATCTGTCTCTGGTGAATCCTCTCATCTCCCTGCACCTCACATGTTTGCATAAATAAATAAAATAATTCTTTTTAAAAAATCACTTAAATCTTAAAAATGGAGAGGTACAGAATCTGAGGTCTGAGGGATGGAGGTTAGACATCAAGAAGGACTTGCCAGCCTGAAGGGAAAGAGACTGGCACATGGAAGGGCAGAGGCTGCAGCAGGAGGGCACACAGGTTGGTGTTTAAGAGAGCCAGGTCCCCGGACACCGGGTGAGGGTCCCACATGGCGCGCAGACCTCTCCTGCAGCCCGCAGCTCCCCTCAGCAGTGTACTTCGGTCTTTCTGCCCATTCTGCTCCCCGCTCTGGCTCTGGTAAATTCTCTCACCCTCCTGCGCTTCTGACTGTCCCCAGTGCTTGTATAAATAAATAAATAAATCTTTTTAAAAAAAAAAGAGAGAGCCAGGGACCAGGCAAACGTGTGGGCACAGAGAAGCGAGCCGGAGGCTCTGAGCCCTTGCAGTGACTTGGAGACAGCAGGGCTGGTCTGATCTTGCCACCCAGAGCTGGCCAGTTCTCATGGGGGGGTGGGGGGGCAGATAGGGGCCAGGCTGGGAGGCACTGCCATGCCTGGGGAGTTTTATAGGCTCACCTCCAGTCTAGAGTGGCCCTGGCTGGTGAGCTCTGGGGGCACAGGTGGTGCCGGGTGGTGGCCAGAGCAGCTCCAAATGCCCCACAGGCTTCCAGGACGTGCACACCATGGTCTTCGTGGGGTTCGGCTTCCTCATGGCCTTCCTGCAGCGCTACGGCTTCAGCAGCGTGGGCTTCACCTTCCTCCTGGCTGCCTTTGCCCTGCAGTGGGCCACCCTCGTCCAGGGCTTCTTCCATTCCTTCCACGGCGGCCACATCCATGTTGGCGTGGAGAGGTGGGCAGCAGGCCCTGTGCTCACTCCCGGGTGTAGCCGGAGATCCCTGTCCTTCATGTTGGCCTCCTGACCTGGGTTTCTGACCTGTCACTGGGTTTCTAAGGTGCTCTGCCTGTTCTCATAGCCTGATTTCTTCTCCCCTCCTCAACCCACACTCTCAACCACACCTCCCCATTTCTTCAGGCCCCTAATTACCCAAGAGCAATTGGGAGACTGGAGAGCTTCATGGGAAATAGAGAGCAGGGTTTAGGGGAGCTCCTGGTTCAAGAGCTGGTTCTTCTACCTTCGTGGGTTTAGTTCGAGAAATCACAGAACCTCCAAGACTTGGTTTCCTCATCTGCAAAAAGGAGAGGCACCCCCTTCCCACCTGCCAACGGGGAGCTTTGACCTCTGCCCCACTCACCTCCCCATGTGCTGTCCTGGTGCCTCCTTCACCCGCCCATCCCATGCCCCTCCCCCAGCATGATCAACGCTGACTTCTGTGCTGGGGCCGTGCTCATCTCCTTTGGGGCCGTGCTGGGCAAGACGGGGCCAGCGCAGCTGCTGCTCATGGCCCTGCTGGAGGTGGCACTCTTTGGTATCAACGAGTATGTGCTCCTCAATGTCCTGGGGGTGAGTCTGGATGTGGAGGAGGGGTCAAGGGTGAGGGTGGCCAGGGCCAGGCTGGGAAAATATGGGGTGGGGATGGGGAGTAGCGCTTGGAGTTGCCCCTCCAGCTCAGCTCCCCCTCTCCAGGTGAGGGACGCAGGGGGCTCCATGACTATTCACACCTTTGGTGCCTACTTCGGGCTGGTCCTCTCCCGGGTCCTCTACAGGCCCCAGCTGGAGAAGAGCAAGCATCGCCAGGGCTCTGTCTACCATTCGGACCTGTTTGCCATGATTGGTGAGGCCTGCTGAGGTGGGGTGGGGTGGGGGGCTGTTCCAGATGCCCCCGATCTTGCTGGAAAGGACCATCTCCAGGCATGGTCTCGGGGTGCCACCTGTCCCTCGAGGCTCTGCCTGGAAGCTCCCTTCTGATTTGGGTTTTGCCGTAAGAGCCTGGGATCTATACTCATCTTTCTCCTTAGTTTGATAGCAGGTTCTTAGGACTCAGCTCTGGGCTACGCACATGCCCAGGTTCACATCTGATCACACCAATCCCTGCTTAAAACCCTCCAGGTCCCCACCACCCACAAGCTACAGGCGGACTCTTTGCCCTGCTATCACCACCCTAGCAGGGCTTGGCCACTCTGTCCTTCCTCCCACTCACAGTCCCCCACACTGGCCACCAGCCAGACTTGCCTTTCCCCTCTTATCAGCACATCTGCCCCTGGGTTTCCTGATGCCACTGTGCTCTCAGGGCGGGAGAGGCAGTGTGCAGACACCCGGGAGCAGCAAGGTGTGACCCGGGAGCACCTGCCGCCACCTGCCTCTCTGAGCACGCGTCTTCTGCTTCTCTGCCTTCAGAAATGAGCCAGGAAAAGAAATTTTTTGCAGGCAGTACTCAATCGTGACTGAAGTGCTTATTCTTACATGAAAGAGAGAGGAGGTTGATTGTTTATTTCCTGCCACCCTGGGTTTGTTGTGAAATAGAGCACGAGGAACCTTAAGTCAGCCGAGGCTTCCTTGCCCTTTGAGACGCAGATAAGTTTGGCTTCAAGTCCAAAGGCTTCTCTAAGCTGTCTGTGCCTTCCCAGGCAGCTTACTTTCTCAGGCCTCTGCCTCTCAGCTCCATCCAGCTCCATCCTCTTCCTCGATTCCCGCCTAAACTCTCTCTTCAGAGGACGCGCGCATGCGTGCAGTCAATTTCACTGCCCTTAGGGTTGCAGGGAGACCTTATATTGCACCCCAAGGACCACTCAGAACTGGGGGACGGTTCCTCGAGCCTCCTTGCCATGCCAGCCTAGCCTACAGGGTCCCTCACCTTGTCCCTCAGCCTCTCCCCCTCTCCCTCCGGGACCACCTGGGGACCTTGCAAGGGCACACAGGTATTGAGAGCACCCCAGCTAGTGCCAGGTGGCAGAGGCCTCTTCCGTATCTTGTAAGGCCCACCCTCTAGGGGGAACTGAAGTTATAAAACAAATTATTTTCCTGATCTAACTAGGAAGTACCTAGTTTAGTGCTTGATATGAGGGACCTTCGTCTCTTTTTTCCTTCCTTTTCTGATACTTAAAAAAAAAAACCCTCAAGCCCTGGTTTTCACTCCTCATGCCTGCACCTGTGGTGGCTACCATGTGTTTAACATTTAGTGCCTGCTCAGCCATGGGCTGTGTCCTTCACATCACCCTCACCCTGTGAGCTCAGTACTGAAGCCCCCATTTTACAGATGAGCAAACAGCTGCTGAGAGTAGGTGACTTGCATGCAGTGGTAGCTTGGACCTGGCAGGGGAGCCACTCCTCTCACTCAGCTGCCTGCCCACCACTTAGGGACCATCTTCCTGTGGATCTTCTGGCCAAGCTTCAACTCTGCACCGACCACTCTGGGGGACGGGCAGCACCGGACAGCCCTCAACACTTATTACTCCCTGACGGCGAGCACCCTCAGCACCTTCGCTTTGTCAGCCCTTGTCGGGGGGGATGGGCGGCTGGATATGGTATGAGGAGTAGAGGGAGGGGTGGGAGGAGAGGGGGCGCCTGGGTCCTGGCAAGGCCACTTCTCCAGGGGTGCAGGCAGAGGGGGCTCCTCTGCTCTGGAAGCAGTGGGCCAGAGGGGGAGGGGATGACCCTATAGCTGAAGGGTCAGAGGTTAGATGGTGGAGAAATTTCTGGAAGCAACAGATGCCACTGTGGTTGAAGGGGTTGTCTGGGTGCAGGTGACCTTCTAAAAATGTCTCGCGCCTCTGGCACCTTGCTTTTTCCTGCTTCCTTAGGTCCATATCCAGAATGCAGCGCTGGCTGGAGGGGTGGTGGTGGGGACGGCAGGAGAAATGATGCTGACACCGTTTGGGGCGCTTGTAGCTGGTTTCCTGGCTGGGACTGTCTCCACACTGGGGTACAAGTTCTTCACGGTACAGATCTCTCTCGGGCTCTGGGAAAAACAAGGGGGTTGTTGGCACCTTCCTTTCACCTCTCCCATGGTCCAGGGTCAGGGCGAGAGGGGGCACATGAGACTTATTGTGTCTTGTCCTCCAGCCCATCCTGGAGTCAAAATTCAAAGTCCAAGACACATGTGGCGTTCACAACCTCCATGGGATGCCAGGGATCCTGGGTGCCCTCCTGGGGGTCCTTGTAGCCTGGCTGGCCACCCATGACGTTTACGGAGATGGGTAAGTTCACTCCCACACACACACTCATACTGCGATCCTTGTCCCCGGGAGTGATCTTTGTCACTCTCTACCCCCTTTGTGGACCAGCAAAAAAGAGTGTCTATTTTCATTCATTCATTCATTCATTCATCCATATCCTGGGAGCTGAGGAAATTGAAGTAAATAAGACCAACTGGGTTCTGCCTTCTTGGGCCTCAGTCAAATGCAGCAGAAGGTCATTGAAAAATGATTCAAAGGGCTCAGTAAGATATGAGGACTCAGTATCAATTTTGTACCCGGGGCTCAGAGGAGAGGGCAGGGGAAAGTGACCCTTAAGCCAAGTCTTGGAAGGTGAATAGGTGTCCATTGGTAAGGGTGCAGGTCGGGGTGTTGGGTGGGGGCGGGTGTTCAGGCCGGCTGCTGCTGCATGGTGCATGGCTGCCACGGCCAGCCTGGCTGCAAGCTGTCTCTCTGTCTCTCTAAACCCGGTCTCCCCACAGCCTGGAGACCGTGTTCCCGCTCATAGCTGAGGGACAGCGCAGCGCCAAGTCTCAGGCCGTGTACCAGCTCTTCGGGCTGTTCGTCACACTCATGTTTGCCTCTGTGGGTGGGGGATTTGGAGGTGAGTGACCTTGGCTGGGCACAGAGACCTGGCGGGAGGTCCAGGGAGGGCAGGGGATTGAGGGGAGGGCGTTCTCCAGAGGAAGGGCCACAGGATCCCATCCCTCTGACCATCATTTGTTCACTCACAGGTACTTACAGAGCGCCTGCTTTGTGCCAGGTGAGGGGTGGGGTTGTAGAGTTCAGGGGTAACCTCCCCCAGGCATGAAGGAGAAGATGGACATTTGTTCCCTCCTGGTGCCAAGGAAGGGTGGGGAGGCAGCTAGGTGCCTCCGCTGGGTCCCTCTGCTCCGGTTCCACTGCTTCCTGCTGCGGCTCCCTCCGCCCACTAGAGGGCAGCCCAACCTCAGGATGAGACCCAGAAGGGGCGGGAGGGAAGGGGCCGCCTGACTCACCACTAGACCCAGCACACAAACCTGCCACAGAGAGCTGTCCCCAGATGCCGGCTCAGGTCAGCCTTCTTGACGTCTGACCTTAGTCCTCTTGGCATTCGAAATAAAACCTGCGGTTCAGTGTCCCCCACCCTCCTGCTCTCACCTGCAGATTTCCATTCTCCGACAAAGTTCAGCTCATGCACTCATTGAATTACTCATTTATTCAATAAACACTTTCTGCACCCCAGTGTAGGAGGCCACAGAAAGCTCAGCAGTTGTGCTTCACGACAGAATCACAATTTTAACCTTTACTGACTTGAGCCAGTTCCTTAACGTCTCTGAACCTGAGTTCCCTGCACTACAGGGATCACAGATCATACCCATTTTGCAGGGCTGCTGTGATTGCCCAGGAAGGTAATGTGGGCAAGCGCTCTGCACAGGCCCAGCGCAGAGCAGGTGCTGGAAAAACCCAGCTGCAACCTTCACGTGCCCTTGCCTACTGGCCCTCTGTGCCCTCTGGGGTGGCGAGAAGTCTCACATGCCCTCCCTTCCTACACCAGGACTCCTGCTGAAGCTGCCCTTCCTGGGCTCCCCACCGGACTCCCAGTGCTATGAGGACCAGATTTACTGGGAGGTGAGTGGGAGCCGCCGCCCCTCAGGCCCTGGGTCCACTCCCCCTCACTCTGCCTCCTTCCTGCCCTGCCTGCTCTCTCTTCTCTGGAGTGTTGTACTTCTTGGCTGTGGCCTTCCGCTCTCCGGAGCTCCCCCTTCACCTGATTCCCGCCCTTGCCTTCCAGGTGCCTGGGGAGCATGAGGATGAGGCCCAGGGACCCCTGAGGGCTGAGGAACCAGATACTCGGGCCTAACTTGCTTCCAGCCCCCGAGAGGACACTCTCCTTTTAGAAGATGATGATTGGCTATTGATGAACTTCTGGGAAGCTCTTCTTTTCTAGCTCACTTTCCTCCTGCTACAAAAAAGAAGCCATGAGCTAGAAGAGGCTTCCTTTCTATAGGCACAATTGGGGGAGGGGCCTTAGAAGACTGGGGAGACATGGGGAGGTGTAGAGGAGCAGGGCCATAGGTGGCTGTGGTCAGGGGGAGAACCTCACCATAACCGCATGCCACCACCCCACCAACCCGTGAATGTGGGTAGAAGGGGACACAGATGAGGCACCCAATGAGTTCTGACCCCACAGAGCCAGCACCACACAGTCACTGTGAGCTCTGAGCCAGGGCCTGGCTCTAAGGGTGATAAACTCCACTTCACCAAGGTCTCTGAATCCTCTTTCTGTGCCCTGGGAATTTGGGAAGTGCCTCTTATGCTCTAACCCTTTCTCTGGCCCATGGGGCTCCCCTAGGAGCCCATGTTCTGCTAGGTGCTGCTCAGCTTGGGCCTGCCTGCCTTCAGAGACAGAACGGAAGAAGAAGAACTCATTCTTTCCCAGAAAGCTTGTCTGTTTTGGCCCGCTCAGGCTGCTATAGAGTTTCCTATTCCAGAATGGCTCTGCCCCTCAACTTGGCTAGCTTCTGAGCAGAGTAGGAAAGAGGGTCCTCCTCAGGGCCTAGAGGGGCACAAGGAATTCTTTGCCACTAACTCGTCAGAAGTTGGAAGCAACCAGGTCCCAGATTCCGGCTTATGTCCCTCCCTGCATCTGCCCAGTGGGAAGTAGAACAGATGAGAGCTGCCCCAGAGAAGGGCAGCTTCTCTGGGCAAGGCAAGCCCGGGGCCTCCAGTGGCCTGAAGGCACCTGACCACCAGGAGGCGCTCCAGACCCAGCAGAGGAAGCTGCGGCCTCGCCGTCCTCTACCAAGAACAGAAGTCCTTCCCACAGCTTAACTGCCTTCTGTCTGCTTCACCTGGCCCTCACCACTCATGCCACAAGATTTTTTGAGCTCTCAGCACCCACTACATATGAGGTGGCTACTAAGGTCTTCAGCTGTCTCATCCAAAGAGAATCCTTCCCTCTAGTAGGCCAGAACTCCCCTCCCAAGCCTGAAGGACAGGGACACCCTCCTGCCCTCTCCTGCCCTATGCCCCCCAGTCCTCTGGCAGGAGTTGAACTTGACTGTGACGTCTCTCCCTCATGACCAAGACCCATTTAGACTTGGCATCCAAGGAGGAAATGAAGGGATCTGTGGACCAGCCCTGGACAGGGCAAAGGTGCCCCATCAGGCTCCATCCTCATTCAGTGGAGGGACAGATTTGCCTGGGGAAAGATGCCAGGCACAGAGTGGGGGAGAAAGGGAGGAACAAGGAAGGTAGTGGAGGGACAAACCCTCCTTGGAAGTCCGCTTCCTGCCCTTTAGCTCCCTCCTTGCTCCAGAGGCCCCCTGCCCACTGCTGCCTGGGATAGGTATGGGGTATCCGTATGCCCAGGCAGATGACTGCTGACTTTGCAGAAAGGTTCTCTGTCCTGGCAGCCCCACCCCTGTCCCACCCCTTGGGGTCTTTGCTCCCAACCCTGCACCTGTCCAGGTAGGGCCAGCTGACCTGCTATGTCCAAAAATCCCTACGAGGCCTCAGAGATCTGAAAGTCTCAGAAGGGGAGATTCAAGAATAAGATGAGATCCTCTCTGCCCCATTCATTCTGGGTGGGGAAAACAACGAAGAGTCACTTATTTCTTGCCACCAAGATTTTAACATCTAATCTCCCTCTACTGCTGATTCCTTCTTGACCATAACAGATCTCCAGGGCTGAAAAATTGGGCTGCTCTGGCCCAGCATGGTCATGGTGCCTGGGGTGGCAATCCCTGGAGGCTTCCTGGAGAAGGGACAACTGAGCCCTCTGGGGGAAGGCAATTACCCAGCTAGCTTCCAAAGGAGGAAAGTCTAGATGTCCCAGTATGGTTCCCCAAGTTCCCTAGAAAGTGGGTCAGCGTAGGTGTTGCCCTGCGTGTCCTGTAGTTAGACTGTTCTCGGCTCCATCACCTCCAAAAAGCCTCCTGCTGCTTGGGAGATACTGCTGAGTTCTATAGGATCCAGCACCTTCGCCCATGGCTCAGGGAGTGTGTCCAGGGCTGATCACTCCTAAAATAGGCCCTTGGTGTTTCACTCTGGGTTTCTTCCTCCCCTCCCCCAACCTTGCCCAAAGTGCCCAGCACCCCAGTGAACACTGCATAGACTATTCCATTTAATCAGACTGGGTTGTTGCGTGTGGGGGTGATCATCTCATCACTACTTTCAGGCAAGGAGGGCAGGAAATCTGGGTGTCCTTGGTGCCCCTCTGCTGATGCAAGCCCCTCCCTCTTCTCCCTCTAGCCCCCAGCTCTGCACCACCAGTCCCCCTCACTGTGGCCCATCCATTCAGGCTGGGTCAACAGGGTGACAATGGGGTCAACCGGGTCAAGGAGATGGCGGGGCTAGGGACCAGGGGGGCTCCTTCCTCACCCCTTCAGCACAATGAGGTCTCTGCCCTTCAGGGACAGCCCCTCTGATCACCACTATTATTACTCTCAATGCAGGACAATCATACACTTGCCCACTCATGAACTCTGTGTGTCCAGCCCCAAGGCCTGTGCTTCGGGGACAATGATGGACGAGGACACCGGGCCCTTGCCCGCCTCCCAGGGCCCCACCAATGGGATTGGAAGGCTATGCTCGGGTCAGTGTCGGCCCCCAGGAAAGGAGGGAAGGGTTTCTTGACAGGGTGACTGTTCTGGCTTGGCACAAGTATGGGTGGGCCACAACAGGGTTTCCCGCCCAGACATTTGGCAGGGAGGTCACCTCAGGGTGTTTCTGTGGGGCCAGAGTGCCCTTGGCTAGGACCTACTAGCTGCTCCTCTGACCTCTGGAGGACCCGCACTCTTGGAACCCCCAGCCGCCTGGGAAAGGCTGAGATCCCCCCCTATTGGGATTCACATCACGGCACACGGCAGCCCCAGCTCGGGAAGGAATTAGACACGGCGTGGGTGTCCAAAGTGGGGGGCGGTGGCTGTCCCGGAGCAGACAAGCTCAGAAGCCGCGTCCCCCCACCTCACCCCGATATTTCTCTCCCACCGTCAGGCTCTCCCCCACCTGTCGCCTCCCGGCTCTGCTCGCCCCTACGCCTTTGTCTGGCCCTCCCGCCCTCTCGCAGCCCGTCGGCCGCGCCGCCCCGCGCGCCCGGCCCCGCGCGCCCCGCCGCCGCCGGGGAACAATGCGGGCCAATGTCTCCCGGCGGGCGAGCCGGCTATGCAAATGTTCCAACGGCCTGTGAGAATCCCCCTCCGCGCCGCCCGGCTTCCACCGCCTGAAAGGGGCTGGCGGCCGGGTCGGGGTGGGGGAGGCGGTCACTGCATAGGGATGAGCTGTCGTCCCGGAGCGCCCGCCCGGGACAGAGCGCCATTGTCTCTGCGCCGCCGTCTGATCGCCGAGGGAGCCTGCCAGCCACGGAGAGAGGCCGAAGGTGACCCCGACCGGCCCCGGGGCGAGGAGGAGTGGTGACCTGCCCCTCCATACCTGCTCCTGGCCCCAAAGAACCTGGACTTTGGGGTCAGACCATGCCGGCGCCCACGTGGGCACCCCCCTCACTAGCCTGGGGGAGCCTGTGCAAGTCCGCTATTTCTCTGAGCCTTTGTCTCGGAGGTTAAACCAGTTGGTGCTCTTCCCATCCTCCCGTTCCTTCCCAGCTCCCTCCCCATTCTCCCCAAGTTTTTGCCTCCCACTAGCCCAATGGACTCTCAAGCTGTCTCGGGGCCCATCTTTCTAGAGCCCTGAGGGAAATACTGATGGTTCCCCAAGGTGACAGCAGATGCACCCGCTGTGGAGCCCAGGCCCAGTCCAGATCTTCCTTCCTCTTCCTTCTGCCAAGTTAAGGAGTCCCCCTTTCCTGGGAGAAAGGGCAGCCGTGCAGGACTGAAGCTTCTCCAGTGGAGAGGTGTGGGTAGTGGCAGAAACCGCCTCCCACAACTGAAAGAGGGGTGGCCCTCCCCGCAGGCCAGGAGGCCATGTCCATCTAGCAGGTGGCACTGGTCACTGGGTTAAAATTCCTGGAGGGAGCGCTGTGCTGGGAGCAGAGTCCATCCAGCTGGGGACTGGGCCTTCTGCTCTTGGTCACTGACAAATCTGAGCTTTAGGCTTGAGACACAGCAAGGGGCAAGACGTGTGTCCATCTTCCCTAAACTCCCACAAGGATTCACGATCAAGGGCTGGGCTGACCCACTCAGGCAATGGGTCTCTGGGGATGGAATAGGTCTCTTGAAGCACTGATGCTCCCAGGACTCAGTTTTCAGGGCAGAATCAGTGGGAGCAGTACCAAGACCAGTAAGTTGAGATCTTTAGTCTGGGAAGGCAGGAAAAGACTGAGAATGAGAGCAGGGAAAGGAGGTGGGGGCGGGGGACGGACGTCTTCTAGGAGTGGGGGTCCTCACCCTGCCTCGGAGGCCTTATGGTTTCTGATTTGGCCCGGCCTTTCCAGCTACGATGGCTGGCATTCTCCCTTCTGTCCTGGTCCTAGAGGCTGTGGGTGCAACAGGCCTGTTAGCCTCTCCCGGGAATGTGGAGAGGAAGTTGGGGCCAGAGAGCACCTCTGAGAGCCCTGGCACCAAGGAAGCAGCCAGAGTTTCGTCTGCCCCTACACCACCACCTCTGCGAGTAGACCCACCTGTACCTCCTCCCGCACCTGGCTGCTTTCTGAACCCAAAACCTGGACCCCTCCAAAGCATTCTAACCCGGGTCTCTCTCATAGAAACCCCTCCACAGACCCCAAGGCCACCTCTGAAAGCAGCCAAACCCGAGTTCTCATGCGTCTCCACACATGAGCCTCCACCCACCTGAGCACAGCCTCCCTCTCATAACCTTTGTTGCCCATGGGGTTTGCAGGTAGCACCTTTGTTTTGGATAGTCCCCAGAGCCCCCACCCACCCACACCCACCCCCCGCCCTGAAGGCAACCCTCTCTCTTTGGCCTCCGTTTTCAGAACTCTCTGGGATGGCTCTGGCTGGTCTTTGGGTCTCTAGGCAGGACCCAAGCTGGTCCAGCTTGGCACTGAGGCTGGGAGAGGAAGTGGGCTTTGTTGTGCCCCCAGCATCCTCTGAATTCTTAAACTCACTTTTCCCACCCCGCTTTTCTTGGCAGAAGAGCCCTCAGCTGGAGAGGCTGCCCCCCACCCCCACCCCAGAGTCCCTCCTTCCCAGCTCAGCACCATCCATCTCCGTCTCCCCAGAGCAAGGAATGTGGCTCCAGGACACTGTGGGCTTGTTCCCAATCCTCTTCTAGCTCATTTCACTCGGGCTTTTACAGACTCGCCTTCATCCCGCAGGCTGCCGTCTGGGTTCTGGCTCTGAAGGCACAGACAGAGGGCCGCCCCTCCCTGC